AGGGCGTGGTGGTCAGTGACGACGTCGAATGCGTGACCATAGAGGTAGGGGTGAAATTTTTCAAGAGCCCAAAACAATAGCTAAACACTCTTTCTCGGTCACGGAGTAGTTAGCCTCAGCTTTCGTCAGAGTTCGGCTTGCGTAGGCGATGACACATCCATCAAACCCTGCCTTTCGTTGCGCAAGCACAACGCCAAGCCCAACACCGCTGACATCAGTATGAACCTCCGTGGAAGCGGTATGATCGTAGTGGCAGAGGATGGGTGGTGTAGTTAGCAGGCGGCGTAATTTTGTGAACGCATCGTCACATGCTGGTGACCAGGTGAAAAGGTTATTGTCGCCGCAAAGAAGGTCCGTAAGGGGTGCACATATGGAAGCAAAATTTCGAATAAAGCGTCGAAAGTATGACGACAAGCCGACACAACTTCTAAGGTCCTTTGGGTTCTTTGGCTTCGGAAAATCGGCGACTGCTCGAAGCATGGCGGGGTCGGGAAGTATGCCGTCCCGTGATACGACGTGGCCAAAAATAGTGAGCTGCCGGGCACCAAAACGACACTTCTTGAGGTTGAGTTGAAGGCCGGCGTCGGTGAGGCATGTGAGGATGTGCTCGAGACGATTTAAATGGGTGTAGAAATCGGTGGTAAAGACAACTACGTCATTGAGGTAGCATAAACATGTGTTCCACTTGAAGCCTCGTAAAACAGTGTCCATCATCTCTCAACAATGGCTGGAGCATTACAAAGGCCGAAAGGCATAACGGTAAATACGGATAGTCCATCGGGTGTGACAAGTGCTATTTCCGGACGGTCAGATGCTTCCATAGGAACTTGCCAGTATCCAGAACGTCAATCCAGCGAAGAGAAGTATTCGGCTCCCTGCAAACAGTCAAGGGCGTCGTCTATTCGTGGTAACGGGTAAACGTCCTTACGGGTGATCTTGTTTAAGCGTTGGTAGTCGACACAGAACCGAATAGAGCCGTCCTTCTTCTTAGCACAAACGACCGGTGACGCCCTCGGACTGTTAGAAGGCTGTAAAATACCCCGCTGGAGCATGTAAGCAACATGGTCGTAACTCACACGGCGCTCTGACGCTGAGACTCAGTAGGGACGCTGCCGTAGAGGCGTGTGGCTTCCTGTGTGAATCTTGTGAGATATGTTCAATGCCTGACTGAGGTCATAAGCGTGGCTGTCAAAAGAAGTGCGAAACTTTTGCAGCAGGTTGACCAACTGGCTTCGTTCTGAAGAAGATGTTGTGACGTCGATGGAGCGGTGGAAAGCGTGGAGGAGTGTCCGGTCAACAACAAAGTAAGAAATGAGGGCGCCGAGGTCCATAGAAAGTTAACTAGATGGAGCGTCAAAAATGTGACGGGCGTCGATCGGATGCACGTGACCGAGACATTCATCATTTTCACTGGTATAGCGCACCACCACAAGGACACACACAAAGGAGAGATGCACACACACTTAGCGCTGTGTGTGTGTGCATCTCTACTTTGTGTGTGTCCTTGTGGTGGTGCGCTATACCAGTGAAAATGATGAATCTCAACCAACTAGCCCGGCAACGTGCCTTAGCGAGATATTCACCATGGAATAAAGGTAAAGGCCCTTCTAGCGTGTTGTACATGACCGTCATCGTGAAGCAATGGTGGAGAGTAAGGAGAGCAACGGGCAGTGTAGAACATTTGCGTTGAATGAACAGGGCAGAGGGCGTAAATAGAACATCACCGTCGGAAATAGCGTCACACGACAGTCACCAGCAGAGAAGAGCGCGGTGTTACTGGGGTGTCGTCAGAAACCGACAGTTTATAATATGACAAGGAGGCTTCGACACCGTCGACATCAGGAAGTGCAGACAGCTAAAGTTCAGCGCGACAGCAGTCAACAACGGCATTATTATTCACGAGGAAGTCCCAGCCGAGTATTATGTCATGGGAACACAAGGGCAACACTACAAATTCATCGATATACACAATCCTTTCGACGACGACTCGTGTGGTACAGGCTGCGAGAGGTGTTACACTTTGTGCGTTAGCCGTTCTAAGAGAGAGACCAGATAATGACGTCAGAACTTTGAGGAGTTTGCGGCACAAGTGGACGGAAAGGACGGATAGAGCGGCTCCGGTGTCGACAAGTGTCAGGACGACGATACCATCGACTGACACTTCAATGACATTAACTGGACATGGGCGATGACTTATGGCCACGGGGACGCAGTTCGTGCCTCGGAAACTGCGGCCGTTAGTTTTCCTGATCGGTGGGTCCGGAACGGTGACGCATAGGGGAAGGCGAACGTCGACGTGAAGATGGGGAGTGGTGGGTGGGCCGAGTGGACGATCAGGGGGAAATGAAGAGGAAGGAGGGCTTGAAGGCGTAGAAGAAAACTGAGGGTTGAAAGTGGGCATTCGTCGAATGTTCGGAGCAGCCTGGTGACGACAACAATAACGCGCCACGTGGCTAACACCGCCACAAGCAAAACATATCGGACGGTTGTCGTATGGTCGCCATTGGTCGAAGTAGACGCCGAGTTACGGCTGGGGGCAGAAAACTGCGGCCGAGGTAGTGTCGGCATAGGCGGTGGTGAATAGGGCGGCGGCGAAAAGGGTGGCGGCGAATACATAGGCGCTGGCTGGAACACAGGCTGTCGAGGTCGAGCAACGGCCTCGGCGTACGTGAAAGGTGCGGCGACTGGCGGCGGTTCACGGGCGGGAGGAAGAACTTGTGCGACCTGGTCTTGAATGAAGTCACGGAGTGTAGACGTCAATCTGCGTGGTTGATCAGGTACGCAGGACATCAAAGAGAGCTGACGAGCGACCTCAGCGCGGATGAACTCTTGGATCTTGGAGAGAAGATCGGCATGGTCTTCTCCTATGCCAAGGGTGGACAGGCTGGACAAAGAAAGAGTCGTCGAGCGCCGGGGGACGTCGGGTGGAAAGACGTTGCCGGCGCAACTCGTAAAAACTCTGGCATAACTCGGTTAGTTCTATGTACAGTGTGAGGACTCTTAGAAAGCAACACTTAGAAAGCGTCGTCCTCAATGCCCTTCATGATGTGCTTGATCTTAGGCTCTTCGGACTTCGACCCGTTGACTCGCTTGCAAAGGTCTAGAACTTCCTCAATATAGCTAGAGAAATTCTCACCAAGCTGCTGGGAACGAGTATGCCAGTGTTGTTCGGCATGGTGTTTGCGTACCTCAGGCCGTCCGAAAACTTGTGTCAGGCTCTTTTTGAAGACAGACCACGTAGGGAGTTCGAGTTCCGCTTCGTGGTTTATGAACCACAGCTTGGCCACGTCCGACAGGTAGAAGGAGACGTTAAGCCAACTTGGCGGCGTCATCCCATTTGTTGTGAATACTCACTCGCTCGTACATAGAAATTCAGTCATCGACGTCCTTGTCTTCTGTGCCTGAGAAAACAGGGGGATCTCGCAGACGCAGAGAACCGGCGCAGAGGACAGTTGCCAATGCCGGTGGAGGAGTTGGAGCGGCGCTTGCGTCGGTAGGCATAATGGACTGTAAAATGCGATTCCGAAGTTTCAGGGTGATCGAAACCCAGCAGACTCCACCACTTGTAGCGGAGTTTATTTGCAGAACAGAACGCCGAAGGCGAAGCAGGCAGCAGCGTCCGGCCAAGCGCAGCAGGCACGAGCTTATGCTGATGGCGATGCCCCCGAGGCGCCGAGAAATGCCGCTAAGGCCCCTCTTCTTCACTACAACACTATCATGTGTCCCTGCCTATCCCACCTCTCACCTTTGAGGCTGTGACTATCTGGTATGCTAGAGCCAAAGAGTGTGCGAATGAACTAAACTTTTGTAATGTCGGCTTTGTGGGTGTGCGTGAAGATGCAAAGCACTTTGCGAAACGGGAGGAAGTTTTACGACTTCAGGCAGCTAACTCAGAAATAAAGGGTGTACTTCGCAGCTGATGCTGTCTCGGCGGGCCAAGTGAAGCGGAGCTGTGGGTCGCTACTCATTTCGCGTCGCTCTATGGTGGTCTGAGTCTGATGTCACTGAAACTTTCGTTACGCTTCCTGAACAGTGACGTAGAACCCACTCGCGCTAGCGATGAGTTCCGATCGTGAGAATGAGCATTCAGGGGCAGTTCGGAAGTGAATGAAGATATGTTCGAAACGTTAGCAGGGTACATGTGTTCGTGATAATTGTCTTTGCATATAGAGCAAGCATACAGTAGGCTCTTTACAGTCTAAAAATTTGGTGTCACACCCCCATAAAAATCCCTCTTTATGCTAACGTAAAACTGAGGTTGCCTTTGCACGAAGCCCTTACCGTCATTTGCTTGTGCGCTTCTTCTATGGGCATGCTCATGTAATCTGAGTGGCGTAATTTCATCGAGTAAAGAATCAACGGTATAGGCGAAAACACATTTTAAACTGGCGGCGAGAATTCAGCTTCACCACTGATTTCATCGAAAAAAAAGTAGTACTCTTATATTAGAACGTCTTTTCTTCAGTTTTACACAATTTCATGCGGTGACATTCAATTAAATTGCCCCGCCGTGGTGATCTAGTGACTAAGGTACTCGGCTGCTGACGCGCAGGTCGCGGGTTCGCATCTCGGCTGTGGCGGCTGCATTTCCGGTGGAGCGGAAACGTTGTAGGCCCGTGTGCTCAGATTTGGGCACACGCTAAAGAACTTCAGGTGGTCGAAATTTCCGGAGCCCTCTACTACGGCGTCTCTCATAATGATATGGTGGTGTTCGGACGGTAAACCCCACGTACCTATCAATAAAAACATTCGATGTAATTAATTTAGGCGCCTTAGAACGCCTGTTGCCACTCACGTCTGATGCTAACTTGACGAATTTAACGGTTCCGACGGTAGTCTAAACTTGCTACGGGATATCGAAGGTTAGACTTGACAGGTCCCTACAATGAACGTGGTTAAAAAAGTCGCACGTTTGCTATCTCTAAACGTTTAATGTTCAAGGAATTTGCAATTGATGCAGATGAGACTGCGAAAACACTAACAATGGTTCCGCTTTACAGGGACATGATTCCACAGCAGCCGATCAAGCCTTGGTTGGACTCGAAGCGCGCAGCACTTTTGGCCAAGGAGAAATTTAAAATGACAGCCGACAACGTCACTGAACTAGTCAGCTACGATGATCGGAACTTCAAAGTGCAGGTAAGTTTAGCGCGATACGGTTAAAGAAATAAATCAGTGCAAAATTTTGTTTACTCATGTTACGAATGAAGAAACAGGGGAAAAAAAGAGCCTGCGTCACCTGACATAGGTATCGGCTTCCTTTTGCTGTTAGAAATGATAAATCAGAAAGCACATAATACAGGGGTTTCAAAATTAAATCAGGTGACCGGCCTCCAGCACAATTACTTGTCGTTCAAAGGCCGGAAGATTGAGAAGCAAGTCGACTTTCAGCAACATTTCACCTACAATGGCCACTTTGAAAAATGCCTCTCTCGTATCTCATATACGGGCGATTTATGAACGAAGTTTGATGCTAGAATTACTGAATAAGCAGATACCGACCTTCAGAATGACTAATACCTGAACACCAGTTCTAAAATGTAGATATTTTGTACCATGGCTAGACGTCAGCACACCAGAGAAGTGCCTGAGACTAAACCCGTATCTGCAGCTTGCCCTAACAAAGTGTTCTTAATCGCAAGAGGCGCGAAAGTAATGCGAGCACCACTTAGCGAAGCCGCAATACTTGACTCTTTGAGAAGGCACGGGCTGCATGCGGACCGTGTGTTTGACACCTTTCACGTAACGGGACAACCACGAAAGGAAGGCAAAAACTTAGATGATACATCTGGTACATACGGTGAACGAAAACGAACATGATATCAGCATAAACTTGTTAGCGTGCTATAAAACCTCTTATAAGCAAATACACGTTCTTTCACTTGCTTTTAGATGGGTTTCAAAAACAAATATTCCTTAAGACAATGTTAGGAGCTTCAATAATCCGAAAGTTCAAACTTTGTTTTGTCATAGCGTGACCATTAGTAATCTTTCAATTGTGGAGGAAAATATTATGTGCACGGGCTTTCATTAGGATACCACATTTCGGCTCATTCGAATTCGTACTCACATGACTTGCTGAGACGTGGCGGAAAAAAATGCTTCATAGTTGGTCGAGGTAAACAGCGTAAAAAGAAAGGCAGAGAACTAAAAAGGCACAAGACAAAGGCGCTGACTTTGAAGTGAAAAAATAATGAAGAAACTTCATATATATACAATCATTCGCGCATACTCTTCTTGCATGGCGAGAAAGCTGAACGAACTAAAAAACAAACAAACTACAAAACTACATTTAAGTTAATATTTCTTTAGTGTTTTCACTTTTTTATACTTTTTTAGTTTGTTTAGTTTTCATGCCTTCCAAGAGCATACGCGAGTAATTGTTATGTGCGACGTTCTTTTAAATTTCTCAGTTGAAAGGTAGCGATCGTCTTGTGTCCTTTTCTTAGTCTGTCTTCGTTTTTTGCGCTGTTTACCTCAACCAGCTCTGAATCGTCACCAACTGAGCGACGCTCTTTTTTTTTTGCTTTACTATCTGTTCATAGGCGCGTACATGAAACCACAAGCATAACAATAACAAGCAGCGACAGTCCTACGAGAGGGACACAAACTAAAATTTCCTAAGTGCTGACAAGGCTTCAACCCTCCAAAACCACTCAGTTACAATCTCCGGAGTTTGCTGCAGTTCAACAAACTTGGCCATACATTCCGGAAATACATTCTTATCAAAATATACTTAGTTTTGGCGGGACCACATGGCTGGATATTATTGCGATCAGGATGTATGGCCTGGGCCATGCTGGTGCTTAGAACTCGTTTCTAAATTGGCCTTAGGCAGTCTTGATGCCGGGAAAATAGTTGTGATAATTGGAGTGATAAAGCGTTTCAGAACACCAAAGGAACAACCATGGGCGTCACACAGTGCGAATTGCGTAATGAGAGCGTCGTCCAATGCTCCAACCTATTATAAAATTCGTTCTTGATCACCTAATAACTGTGGCGCATACCCATTTGAAGCAGACTTCTTCATGGCTCTCAGCAATTGCATGAAAAAAATTGCACAAAATTCCTAGCTAGTGTGTAGCGCATACAACGCATCTTCGAAGAATGACGAAGGATAGCATAGCGAATTGCTTTTTGAACTGTAGGCGATTTACTAGAGATCATAGACCGAAGCTAGAAAGTCCTTTAAATGCTATTGGAATGAATTTATCCATGCTCGTGATTCTGTCTTTTGGAGCCTCTATTAATGGGTATGGGCCTGCGCGAAAGTTTACGTAGCAGTGCCGAATTATCTAAATGAAACCAAAAGGCTATACAAACTAATCTATATTATTACCCTTCTGTGTGGACATACGCATACCTTTTCTTCTTTTTTAAAAAGTTAGCTGTTGATCTAGGTTATTATATATTACTTATACAAAAGCTTTATTGCAGATACATTTCAGTGAGGATCGAAATTTCATTCTAAAACCTTTTGATTTTGTTACTTCCGTTACAGTAAATTGAATAATATTTTATACGACTAATCAATTACTGGCCACTCCCCCACCGTGGGCATGATCCACCAGAGAGGGTAACAATAAAATTCTGGTCAACCACACAAAAACTATGAATATTTATGGTGTAGTGGGTACCCAGCAAGTGTGCTTGTAGCAGTTACCCAATGAGTGTTTAGAAAAGATTCTGAAAGGCCGCGCTTCCAGCTTTAGCTGTAACTGTGCCGCGTGCTCCGCGCAGGCCTTGCATTTTTCCATCTACTTCACTCGCACGGAATTAGGCTCACCGAAATTTCGCTCAATCAGGCTTCACTCCGGCGGAAGCTCACCCGTGTTTTGCACACTTGTGCTCACTCACACCAAGACTCGTCAAAAAACGACGTCATTTTTATTCTATCAATAAAACCACGTGCCAAACTTTGCCATAACCAACTAAATATTAAAGAGCCTTTGTGAAGTCAAGAACATTCGGCTTCAGAAATATACATATTTTCTGATAACGACAAAAGAAGTACAATTAATTAGGGGCTCGTTCCTTCATAAACGAAATACGCAGACACCAAGAAACAGCTAAGACAATAAATGTGTAGTGCAGGTTATTTGTAGTATTTAACTGTAGCTTAGTCATTAAAACGTAAATAAAGAAGTGGGGGACCTTTAAGCTTCGCCTTTAAGACTTGAACACAACAACAAAATCCGGCCCCTAGTGTGCCCTTCAACCTCTAAGTGCATACTTAATAATATGTTTTGTTACATACACACGTACACAGTAGATTGTACCAGCGTGCGCGCGCGAATGCTACATACAGGTTTTTGATCTTAAGCAAGAGCCGCATGGCCTCCAAGATACACGTCGTGCCTTCGCCATTTCGGAGGCCATAAAGAGTCTCAGAATGCCTCAAAGATAGCAGAACATTATGTAGCGTTTTGTGTTTGCTTTATCAAGGCCTCTGGAAAGGCATGATATGTTTTCCGCTAGATGGACATAGGTGTCAATTTTTAGAGTAGTTTGAAAGTTCCCATGTGTTTTTAGCGGCGATGGCTGCACTATTCCGGTTTTTTTTTTCGACGTAGTTTGAGGCTGCCCAAATGCGCCTACAAATCGCCGATGGGCTCGTTTTAGTCGTGACACTTGTCGAAAAAAATGCGTTAATGGGGCCCTGAAACACTTTTTCAAGTAACCATGGAATGAATTCACTAGAAGAGCTCATTGCCTCACGAATTCAACGCCGCAAAAATCCGTCCAGTGCGAGTGGAGTTACAAAGGTTTGTCGTATGCTGCAATTGCATTATCTCGTCTCTCGTCCCGATGAAAGCCCTGGAAGCTAAACAGGGACGGTTGGCAGGGGCAAAAAAACTACATTACCGACGCCTCATAACCTTGAGCACTTTTAAAGACGATAGTCTTTCTTCGGGACCTTCGAAGTGAAAATTCTGGTCTGTCTGTCTGTCTGCCAGTCTGTCTGTCCGCCCTTAACGATACCTGAAACGGCACCAAAAGGCTGACCCCATCCGCGGCGCCCAGCAACGTTGCTCAAGGTTCAGCATTCTTAGTTGTGTGATTGTCAATTGAACAGCACTTATTACGCAAATCTGAGGCTCCGTAACAACACGTTGGTGTTTTGTATGTGTGCTCTTATACTAGAAGGGGCACACAAGTAACTATAAGGACTGTGGCGTTTATCGCGCTGCGCTGACAGTGCAACGCGATGCTCAAAAAGGTAAGCGTTTCGAACGCCTTGCTAAGACGACACGGTGGTGGCACCTGCCTGTCGCTTTGCGTTCTACACCTTATCACCTCCGAGAGAGGCGCGCATTTTTCTCCGCGGGTGCGCATGCCTTCGTTTTCAAAGATAACTGCCAGATGACACTCGTGTCTCACGTGCCTCGATGCGCTCGTTCGCCTCCGCTACACGCTCGAGGCAATCTAACGCAGCGCATCCAGAATACCATTCACTAATTTTCTTGCGCAGAACATCAAAGAAACATTTTGTTCATTCTCTCCAGACGCAAGACTATAGGGGAGACCCACGCCGAGGGAGGCGCTGCGGAGCGTGGCGCTGTCAGTCAATGCGGGGAGAAAACTGGTTACTCGAGTCTTCGCCCCTCCACTGTCCCTTCAACCTGCCTTGAAAACGCGTTTCTTTGCTCGCGAGCTGCACGCGTTCTGCACGTGTTTTTGAGTGTCGCGTCGCTTGCGGTGCGCTCTGTCCGCATTTATTAGGATGCCGCAATTGAGGATTTTTTTTCGTGGCAGCAATTTAGTAAAAGGGCAGCGAAGCAAGTTGTAGCAGACGACGCCGTCCTCGTCAGAGCGAAGTGCGTTTCGCAAGTGAAAGACGACGCTGTTTACGACGTTAGAGGTGAATAAAACTTTTTGTACGTTCATTATTATATACTTGTTTTATTTGGTTTACTCTGTGTACTATGCACTATGTTTGTTCCTGGATGGATGGGTAAGGCCGCTTCTCGTGCTTTAGGTTAAGCGGTTAAGCGCATTGCTATAAAGGCATTTTATCTTGGTCACATATCAAAAATGCACCGTATTGTTCGGGCTGCCCCTGCACACTCAGTAACAACTAGTTCACTGTATCTGCCAACAGACGTGCAACAACGGCTAATGTATTTTTTTTTCTTTTT